TATATATATATATATATATATATATATATATATTAAAGATACAAAATCTATTAGTTTTGCTCTGATACACTCATAAAGATATAGTAATGCCAGGGTTCCAGAATTTGAATCAGTGTAGTAAGACTGGAAATGAAACGTTGCAAAGTAAATAGCTTTGTTACTTGGTACACACATACCTTGTTATAGCTTAATATTATGGCTTAATGTTTACTTCGTCCCACCTACTACATCTCAGCATTATGTGCAGATAATAGGATTATAGTTTAGTCAGACAACTGTGATTTATGGTAAGCCAAGGTTTAAAATATAAAGCTTTAGTGTTTCAGATGAACCCTACCATTACATTCTCCAAATATAAAAATGAATCTGCATATTTGACCTTGCTTTCTCAATTAATAGTTGTTATGAATGTCTTTGACTGGCTGGCCAGGTGTAATATGAAAATAATGGAGATTGGTATAGTGGTTAAGTGCTGGCCTAGCAGCTCTCGCTCAGACATGAGAGCCATACTCACAGAGCAACCTACCTGGTAAGGAGGTTGTTGGGGGAGGGAGGGGGGAACAGGAGGGAGGCATTACGTATTTGTGCTGCTTTATGTTATATGTATAAAAAGTGGCATCATAAGATGAAGAAGTTAAATTGCTTTGGGACTTCAGAATTCAGACAGACAGGGACATAATAACCAGAACTTAACAGTTGTCGATAAGAAAGACAAAAAAGTCTTGATAGTGGATGTGGCAGTGCCTGTAGACAGCAGAATGGAAGAGAAAGAACTGGAGAAGATAACAAAATACAGAGACCTACAAATAAAAATAGAACGACTATAGCAAAGGCAAGCAAGGGTAGTGCCAATAGTAATAGGCTCCTTGAGTGCAATCCAAAAATAACTGGAGCAACACCATTGGCATTGACAAATTCACCATCCCAGGTCCTTGATAAGGACTCAATAGGTAGACAAAAATGCCAAACCCAGTCTGAACATCTGGCTGACCATGCAATAAATCATCATCATCATCTCATGATGTCTTTGGAGGCTTTGGTGCTGAGATAATTGTCCATAGCTCGATTCTGGCACTTAAAATTTTGTGTGGATAGGCTGTGGTTGTGATGAGCTCTAGAATAAGTGTAAAGAAAATAAGACGTGATTTAGAACCAGTACTGCTTATTTTTCATATTTAAAATGATAATAAAAGATCCAAAAACTCTCTGACACAATTGGTCAGAGACTTGGTCAGCTTTTTTAATAGGTTCTTTCTCATCCCCAACCAGTATATTTCCTGGTCCTTCTACAACCACGCTGTTCTCAGTAGCTCCCCTCTCTCTGCAAGAACAGCTTACAGATGGGTCCAATAGTGTTAGGGCCATTTCTGGAACATTATGCCAGATCAGATTACGGTCTCGTATTCTGTGCAGCATGGACGGAAGAAGACTACTATAAGCAGCTGCTCTCCTGCCATCAATCCACCCCACTCACCCCCCCCCCCCATCAGCTAGCTTAAAATAGGCAGCATCTCATTTTTAATACAGGAACTTCCACCAGCAGTGTCTTAAATCTGTTGCCAAAACAAAGTGTTTAATTTTATTAAAATTACCAATATGTCTATTCTTAAATCCCTTTTTCCTTCTTCTTTCAATGAATCTGCTTCATGGTGAAAATTTAACATTCCTGTAAATACCGAATGAATTCCAACCCCCTTCTATTTTTTAATTTGCTGTAGCCTATTTTGCTAAGAAATTGCACTTATATAGAAACAAACATTTTAACAAACTTTTTGTTGTTACATCCAGGTAACAAGCATGGTAAGTATTGTCAGTAAAACAAATATATACTTTAGCTATGCTTGGCAGAGATATGTATATATGTACATATGTGTATGTGTGGCCACATATATATGTATACATATATATTCTTTTTTAATAGCTTTAACTATACTATTAGCCTGTGCTGCTTCTAAAGGAGCTGTTCAAATTAAAAAGCTGCTCACTTCTCATTACTCTGTATGAGCTTTCAAGGGAATACTTGTGTGAATCTGTATTCCACATTGGATGGCATGCATTCCTAGCCAGCATGCTTGCAACTTTGCTTGTAATTATAGGTTTGCCTCTTAGTGCTTCTCTCCCTTCAGTGTTAATCCAAAGTTGACCAGTTCATAAAACCATGATTTGTTCCATGGTGTTAAACTTTTGAAGTAAAATGTAAATTATCTCACTTCCATTAAAATCAATTCTTCTGCTGCTTGTACAGCAGTAGTAATAAATGATTTGTGAGAAAAATGTGAATGCATATGATGTAACTTCTAATTGTCAATAAATCAGTGCCTGGCTAGTATTTGTTTGGAATATTGCCCATTTCAGTCCATTCATGCACAGCTTGTAACTCCAAGGATGCTGCTGCTCAATGGGAAAACCCCACACAGGTGGAATCTATGTGTGAATGGCACAAATGCATGGATGCTATCAATCAAAAGCATCTCTCTGTAGCAATTGGCTTTCTCCACATCATATGAACCCCTAATCTTTTATATGTAGGCTCTTGGCAGCAATATATCCAAGCATGCACATTTTCTTTTCTTTCTTACTTCAAGATTTATTTAGTAGAGGTTTAAAATCTCAGTAAAAAAAAGAAAAGAAAATCAAAGCAAAAGGGGACTCTTAAGTAGTATAAAAGTAAATAAACTGAATTAAGATTAGTCCTCCATGTTAAAACATTGCATTTAACCCTTCAGAAGTTTTCTAAAATCATATTATTCAATAATAATCACTTTAATTTCAATGAGTCAGAATGAGTTAATAGAAATTTGTCTAATTCAAGAATTCTGTCCTTATTTAATAAATCAAACAAAGATGTGGATGTTAAACATCTCAAGAGAAATCCAAACCTCAAGGGCAGTGTTAGTCCATATTTAGAACTATAATTCATAAATGGTTCTTAGTTTTTAACCTTGATAGCTTGGTTTGTTACCCTTCAGACATGCTGATTCCAAGGTAGGCTTGTATATAATACAGTATAGGGGTTAGCCATGCTGGCATTATTCCAGTCCTACACAGAATTTGCATTTGTTTAGCAACAACATTCCCTTTTAAAACAGTTATTCTGTCTTCCTGACATACGAAGGGAAATGTTAAACTAGCAATTTTTGCTGTGCAACAGCCACTGACACAATGTGTTAGAGGTTGTTAAGCCAGAATCCAGATCTCTTGGTCCCAAGATGGAACTTGGGCTAGTTAGGTTCTATGACTCAAGAGTGGCCAACCCAAGCTTAGTTTATGGGAACATAGATGATTGCCTTTGTGCGATTAACAAGGCAAGTCTTATATCTTAGGACATTAGGAAGTAAGATACAAGTGGCTGTGTCCATAGATTTATTATTGAAGAAAGTGGAAACAAACCAGGATCATTCTTTGGGATGTGCAAAATAATTGTTAGCTAATTCCTAGCGTGTTTCCTCTCTTTTTAGATGTTCTTTTCTTGCATCCTCTGGATTGATTAGAGGATTAGGCTAGAAAAAAAAACCAGACGGAACCCCACAAATCATGTATCCCTCTTTGCACATTGTGCTCAAGATAGAATTGCAGTCAGTAAGCCAATAACAAACTCTTATTTAAGTTTATAATTTATTATCCTAAAATAAATCATGCTTTATGCACTCAGATTTCTTATCCAAAACTAAACCAACTACATTATAATTTACTACAATGTGCTAATTTCTCATGTCCTGATTCTTGCTCTAGTTGCCCACAATTACAGTGTAGTCCTAAGGGAATCTGGGCATATCACTCTATTTCTAGACGTGCTTCATTGCTAGAGCCAGTTTGGGCTAGTGGTGAAGGCACCAGGCTAAAAAACTGGAGACTGTGAGTTCCAAGTGCCTCCTTAGCCCCGAAAGCAGCTGGGTGACCTTGAGACAGTCTCTCTTTCTCTCTCTCAGACCAACCCACCTTACAGGGTTGTTGTTGTTGTGGAGAAAATAAGAGGAAGAAGATGTGTGTGATATGTTTACCACTTGGAGTTATCTGTAAAAATAATAAAGGCTGTATAAAAATAACTAAAATAGATAAATACTTTTAATCGAATGATGTTTGGAATAGAATGTTTCCAAGTGTCTGGATATTTATTTTATGATTCTTCTTCTATAGATCAATCTTTAAATTAGAGTCCATCCTATGTGTTTAAACCTCATTCCTTAAGAAAATATTCAGTGCATATGTATATTCTTTAAAAAAGCAGGGAGGTACTGTAGGCACTTAACTATGGCTGGATGCATTGAATTCTCTGCTACATTTCCAACCACTTCAGATAAGACTTGCTCTAACTCTTGCAAACTTGTGCCTTGCATTATAGCACTGTCCTGTTTTTCCTTAGGACCCCGGTTGTTCAGTGGCTAAGACGCTGAGCTTGTTGATCAGAGAGGTTGGCAGTTTGGCAGTTCGAATCCCTAGCTCCGCGTAACGGAGTGAGCTCCTGTTACTTGTGCCAGCTTCTGCCAACCTAGTAGTTCGAAAGCACGTAAAAAATGCAAATAGAAAAATAGGGACCACTTCGTGGTAACAGTGCTCCATGCACCTTCGGTGTTTAGTCATGCCAGCCATATGACCACGGAGACGTCTTCGGACAGTGCTGGCTCTTCGGCTTGGAAATGGAGATGAGCACCACCCCCTAGAGTTGGGAACAACTAGCCCAAATGTGCGAGGGGAACATTTATCTTTACCTATTTCTCCTTGTTGTACACACAGCAGCCATTAAAACAGCTTTTAAGCTGCCTGAAAATAATAAAAGTTAGATGAGGTTTAATGTGCAGAGGATTTACATTTATTTTACAGTCTACAAATGTACATATTTAAACCCAAAACTTTATTCCACACTAGAAATGGGACTTTGTTGCTGCTTCAGAGTTTCATTTTTGGCATGGCACAGCACAGCACATAGGCTCTTTCCTACTTTGTTGCGGCATCACCCCAGTTTTCAATTCTCATTCAGTCGACTTCCTACTGTTTTTCAGTAGAGAATCTTTTTTAGAATTAAACATAATAATATTGAGCAAAGAACTTTGCCCTGATGCAATTGGAATGTATTTTATCTTCCCCCAAGCTACATTTTTCTGCATGGTATGCTCTGTATTTTTCACATTTCCTGTGCCGTTTAATTTTAGCACATATGCTTTCTAACTGTGCTTGTTCAGTGTGCTTTGTCAAGTCCAGACTATTGATGATTGCCTGTAATTGTCATGTTAAAGGATCAGACTGCAAAGGACAAAGCACTTCAGCACATGGCAGCCATGTCCTCCGCTCAAATAGTGTCTGCAACAGCGATTCACAATAAGTTGGGTTTGCCAGGAATTCCCCGTCCGACGTTCCCTGGAGCACCTGGAGTAAGTTAATTGGCTAAAATAAATATATATTTCCCCAGATATGTTTGGCAGGATATGTCTAAATTAGTTAACTTATCCATTAAAGGTTCTTCCCCTTTTCCGTTATATATCTTTTGGGTTAAAAATGTGCTTTCATGAAAGCAACTTTTACACTTTAAGTCTCTGTGTTTCATTTTTCTCTTTCCTTTTACTCCAATCTAGTTTTGGCCTGGGATGCTACAAACAGGACAGCCCGGATCTTCTCAGGAGTAAGTTGGAAATCAAGAAACAGCCACCTCTGGTTTTGTATGTTTGTTTACATATGTGATAATATGGAATATTTGCCGGATTGCACTTTCAGGTAGCAATTGCCTCTATTGGCAACTGTTTGCAGTGATGAAAAAGTAACTTAGTGTTCAATTCTTGTGTTGACAGTCTTCACTAGTCTGTAGGGGCCACGGTGGCTCATGTGGTAAGATGCTGGGCCTGTGTGCTGCTGAGGTTGGTAGCTCAGCGGTTCAATTCCCGTGAGTGAATAAACCACAAAGGGACAAGAAAGGAGCCTCCCTTGATTTTACCCGCGGGTAAAAGAAAACACCACCCAAAAAACATCCTTTTACAGAGGTAGCTAGCCATCTCAGTGATCTCTGGCTAACAAGTGCCATACGCTAAATAAATAAAACTAGTCTGTAAAACAAAGGAAAGTTGAAATAAGATCGTAATTACAGTCCCAGTTTTATTTAATGACTATTCCACTTAATACAATACAATAGCAGAGTTGGAAGGGACCCTGGAGGCAAGCTGTTCCACTGATTAATTGTTCTAACTGTCAGGAAATTTCTCCTCAGTTCTAAGTTGCTTCTCTCC